AGTCTGAATGTTGACCTGCATTGTTCGTACCCAGGCTATCAGGGTCCTGCCTGTAGTGCGGCATCACTGTACAATATGGGTGCAATTGTACAGTATGGGTGCATAGTTTGCACAGTTTGAGTGCAGTTTTACTGCACTGAGCACCACTCACATGTCATTATGTGAGAGTTGTCCAGTGCAGCAGTATGAGCCACCTACATTTGCTCCTGGCAATGGATAGAATGGACCTCTGATGCTATCAGACTAACATACAGACAGCTCTCCTTCAACAAAACCTGCCATGAAAGATGAATGTATGCCATCACTGCTGACCTTTTCTGGAAATGCTAGCTGTCATGCTGGTCCAATGCATTTGATTCTTTCAGAGTCAATGATCTGGAACAAGCATACAACAGGTTCTAAATGCTTGTTCTGTAACAGAAAATTCCCTGTAGCTGCATGGCAGCTAGCATTTCTAGCAAGAGGACAGCAATGGCAGTGTGCATATCGTTCCTTTGAAAGGCATCCTTTCAAATTGTTTTCCTAAATGGTTTCCTTTCCTTTAAATTGCTTTGGGTTGTTGGATACACAGCGATCCAACAGAGCACCCAAACCATCTCAATATAAGAAGACAGAGGGACCAAGATAATATGATTAAAAAAGGATTTTCAGAATCTCACATGTGTGTTTTCATCTTGGAAAGCTTTATGTGAACATAATTTCTCCTGCCAAGCCTGCTGAATGTAAGAGGTCTGCAGGAAGTTTAATCTAGCCTACAGAGATAAGTATGAGTCACGGAGACCCAGATTTCAGATTTACTTACCCGTCATGTAAAATGAAAAGCACAAGGAAGAAGATCAAGCCAGGCAATGTGGACTAAATGTGTTTATTCCTGTGCATTTCCTTCCCATTGCCTTTTTGGTGGTTTCAGTAAATAGATCTGAGAGTTTTTTCTACGTTAGATGTCTTTTGGTAGAAATAACCAAGATCGTTATTTTGCTTCAGACAGGAAGCTCTTAAGATCTTAATACATCTTTATTGATGAAAGGCTAAATTTGACACTTAGAAGGGATATTCTACTGAAAACGATTATCATTAAAAATAATACATATATAGTGCTGGTGATACAATTTATGGCCAATAGTGTGTGTAGACCTGACCATCACACCTGCAACCGTATGGCCAAAAGTATGCAGACATCCGCCCCAAATTATTGAATTCTTTTGTTTCCAGTGTAGGGCACTGGTAATGCTACAACATGCAATACAATTGTGCCCTTTCAACCTTGGGGCAAAAGTTGGGAAAGGCCCCTTTCTGTTCTACCATGACTGTGGCTCTGTACACAGAGACAGCTCCATGAAGACTGGGAAGGAGGAACTTTTGTAGCCTGCAAAGAGCACTGACCTTAACACTACTGAATACATTTAGGATGAACCGGACCACTGATTGGAAGCCAGGTCTTCTCATCTAACATCATTTCCTGACCTTGGCTGAATGGGCACACATTCTCACAGACAAACTCCAAAATCTTAGGGAAACCCTTAACAGAAGAGTGAAGGATGATATAGCCACATAAGGGGAAAGGGCTGGGGGGCAGCTAACTTCATATTAATCTCTGTAGCTTTTGGAACAGGATGTCCAACAAACTCATATAGGTGGTCACGTGTCCACAAACCTTTAGCCATGTACAGTAGTATATGTAACAAAGGTATATGCTTTTCAAATTAAATACTGTCATCTTGGAAAATGGAGAAGAATCGTATTGGACTTGAGATTAAACAAGAACTCCATGATTTCTAAAAATGAACCTTTGCTGTGGGACTACCCCCTGCACTGCAAGGGCTAAGTTATTGTTTAGTCACTCTAAGCATGGTCATTGAAATATCTTTTTATCTGTTTTTGTTAGCCCTGATGAAGGGGGATTTTGTGGACCCCTGAAACACATTGGCTGTTTTACAATATTGATGCTTTTAAATAAATCATTTTTCTGCACTCTGCCTGGGAGGTCCTTGTTTGTGTGAGAGCAGCCTCATCAAGAACATCCTAAGCATCCTGGAGAACAGATTCACTCACATAGTGTGAGTCCTTTGAACCAGTAAAGCTGTAGCACCTCTTTTTTCCAGTACAGATCCCTATAATACGGTGTGAATTTACAGCTGTTTCACATCACCTAGTTGCTGGCCGAGATCCTACTTCAGTTAGATTACAGACAAAAACCGTAAAGCTGACCCAAAATGACCCAAACACTGGACAGGATCATATTGTATTCTATTACACTCTACAGATGTAGAAAATTACATCTACAGCATGAGCTAGCCATTGGGAACATTTGTTCCGTAACATAATTATATTACATTTTGTGCAGAGAGATGAACATTACACCTTCCCAGCATAACCAGATAGCTGAATATAATACAATACTTTTATATTCTATTACAGAATCAGAATACTGCACCTCCCATAGTAGAGTTGTGTTATTAACATACTATAGAATGCCACACCTCCAACATGACCAGAACAATCATAAAACAACTCTGTTACAATCAACACTGCATGGCCCAAAAAAAGTTACATACTCTCAAGTCACTTTAGCTTTGATTACGGCATACATTCGCTGTGGAATAATTTCAATAAACTTATGCATTGTGACAGCATTTATTTCCATCCAGAGTTGCTTTGATTTTTCACCAAGATCTTGTAGTGATGATGGGAGAGTCGGACCACGGCATAATATCTTCTCCTGCACATCCCAAAGATTTTCAATGGGGTTCAGGCCTGAACTCTGTTGTGGCCAATCTATTTCTGAAAATGATGTCTCATGCTCCCTGAACCCACTCTTTCACAATTTGAGCTTAATGAATCCTGGCATTGTCATCTTGGAATATGCCCGTGTCATCACGGAGGAAAGAATCCATTGATGGAAAAAGCTGGTCATTCAGTATATTCAGGTAGACAGCTGACCTCATGTTTTGGGCACATAACATTGCTAAACATAGACCTGTCCAATTGAAGCAACCCCAGATCAGAACACTAAATCCAGGTTTCAATAGCCAGCCCGCTATTGGCTATTGCAATTGGAAATAGCCAATAGCAGACTGGCTATTGCTCCTGGCTGCTTACATTCACCTGTTGGCTGTGTAGGCTAGCTGGCAGGTGAATGGGGCTACGAGGGGAAGCAGGGTGCCGCAGAGGGGTGGTTGCTTGACAATTACTATTAAACTCTCAAGCAACCAGAAACTACAGTTATTCTGCACCTACCAATCCCTGTGGGTGCCGGATAACTGTGAGTTTACTGCAAAGGTTATAACATACCACAAAGATATCAGACTTATACAAAAACACTTATTAAGTGCAGTAACTTAGGGCTGGACAATTTCCGTTGCAATGGTGACAGGAAAAAATCCTCTAGCAACCAGAATTTTCTGCCCTCAAAGTGTTTTAAAAGCCAAGTCTTTTTTTGGATGAACTATGGAATGTTTAAAACCCCTGTCAAGTTTTTTTCTTATCACTGTATGTCCCGTTCCAATGTTAAGGTGATGTTAAAGTCTCAAGGTTTTTAAGCTATTTCAGAAGTTGATTAAAGGAGAACTATGAAGAGAGTGAAATGTAATCTTCCCAATGGTTTAGGGCTGCAACTAACTAATCGATTAATCGATAATGAGAACAGTTGTCAACTATTCTCGTTATTGATTAGTTGGTTGGATCCCCAGCTCTGTCCTCCAGGCTGGGAGGAGGGCACAGCAAGCAGTGGGCAGGTGCAATAGCCAGCCTGTTAATGGCTATTGCAATTTAAAATGGCCAATAGCAGGCTGGTTATTGCACCAGCCCACTACCTGCTGTATTTACATTCAGCTGCCATCTGCGGAACCTTGCCACTGCAGCTGTCATTCCCTGGCTGAAGCTATTTAAGCTACATGTGCTAACAATACAATTTAAAATGATAAAATGTGGGAAAAATAAAACTTTCAGTTTTGGCCTGACAAATTCTGCTGCGGGAGGTGCGTTGCAGTGCCATTCACCTCAAACGCAGCCCAAAGGCGAATCCCACCCACAGTGTGATCGCCCGCATTGGAACGCACGGTACCGCAATGCCGTGTGTTAAAGTAAAATGCGATTGCAAAAAATTGTGTATGCAGTTTTATTCTGAAGTAATCTTTTATGTTTGTAACACTGTATTTGTGTATTTTATTATAAATTAAGGATGGTATGTCATTTTTTTTATCTGTTTAATCGAAAAAATAATCAGCAAACTAATCGATTTTGAAAATAATCATTAGTTGCAGCCCTACAATAGTTAGAGACAACATGTGACACTTCAGCTGTCACACATCACATCTATTACTCGAGAACTGAGTGATCACAAACTGCTGATTGCTCAGCTCACAGCTTTTTCCTGCAGTGACTGTCAGTCATCACTCCCTGCAGGGATTCCCCTCTCTCTGTTCCTCCAGCACTCATTGGAAGGACAGACAGGGGAGGGGATGGGCATAGCGGGCTCTTGCTCTAGAGAGGCAGAGCCAGCTGTCAATCATGCAGCAGGGTGGATACTGACAATATTGTCGGGATCTTTCCCTACTGCAGCGCAGCTCTGCCCTTGTCATTGCCAACCACTGGGTGAGCAGGGATTAGGTAAGTAAAACATAATTTTCCTGTCCCCTAGGCATAAATGAAGAGTTAACCCTTGCAGTGCAAGGGAAAACGTTTACAGGGTTATTCACTAAAGGGTGAAGAGTTTGGAGAAGGCCGGAGAAGTAAACAATTTAGGACAAAAGAGCTGATTTGGAAAAATTCTCCTATTCAGCTCACTTTCCAGCTCAGCTATGTTGTCCTAGATTGTTCACTTCTCCAAACTCTTCACCCTTTTGTTAATAGACCTGTTATAGTTTTCATGGAAGTGGACCATAAGAATTAAAAACTCTGTCCTGAATAAGCCCAACCGAGCACTACACCTTCCAGAATGAGCGGGCTATATATATAATGTATATGTTACATATTTCATCTCTTATTTTCCTTGTACTCACTCGTTTCTTTGTAGAGATAGGATCAGTTCTCTTCCTTCTGCTTTAAGCATGACTTCTACATGTGCAGGGTACTAAAAATACAAAATGTCTGTACAGTAAATCCCTCCTATAAACATATTACATTTACTGTAGTCCAAACATTCTATAGTATAAGTGCAAAGAAAAGCCATGTAATGTCAAAAGATCTAAACTTGAAAGATATATTACCAGGGCACAGGAGACATCTAAAAGTCCCCCAAATGACATAATCTGTCAAAAAAGTGGATGTTCATATTGGAGCATGTGGTCTGTCAGTAGGAAGCTATGGGCATCACTGGCTTCTATGCCAGAATTGTATAACTGCCCTCTATGGTATGAATCATCACGTTCAATACACAGTGTATAGGACATGAGGATGCCAAAGAAAAATGTTCTTTAAAGGAGAACTATGGGGTCAGAGCTTTTCCCCATAGTTCTCCTTACAGCTCGCGGTATACTGAGACGCCGCAGCCGGAGCGGATCCCAACATCGATGTCTGGATCCGCCCAACTGCGTGAGTGACCGCTGGCCCTGCCTATCTAGAGGCAGAGCCAGCTGTACCCGCCCCCTCCCCCCGTCCGTTCCGCCAGTCAGCGCTGGCGTATCGGAGCGGGGAGGGGGGAATCCAGCCCCTCCCCTGTCACGGCAGAGAGCCGTGACAGGATCGAGAGGTGAGCGAACTCCGGTATATGTTCGCTCACCTCCCGATCTACTGAGCCGACCTGTGACAGTCTCATTGTCACAGGTCGGCTAGAACTATGAGGTGAGTGAAAAGCACTCACCTCATAGTTCTCCTTTAATAGGGTGAATGTATGTATATGTATGTAAATGGTTACCCAACAATATGGAATTCTGTGTTATATGGCTAATCAATGTATTTTGTATCTTTATAGAGATTGGATACTGCACAATCTTGTCTGAAGAAGCAGCCTAAAGGTGGCCATACATTGTGCGATTTGCGCACACGAACAGCCTTTCGAACGATAGTCAAACATGATATGATTTTAGTTTTTGATATTGTGATCTAAATTTTTCGATCAGTCAGGTTGGAAAATGTTTCTCTGAGCAAAGGAAAATTGATGAATCAGCAGGGTTTTCGTTCATCAAAAATCGTAGCAAGGACACAGCACATGCGCAAAAGGAAATTATTTCCATCGTTCCTCAAAAATGAGTTGGTTAGTATGGCTAAGGAACGATCTCCGAAATCGACATTTGACTATGCCTGATGGGGAAGTCTAGGTATAATCGAGTGAGGGTTCATGCCAGAAACGAAAAATTGCGACCAAAAATCTACCACCTTTTAGGCCAGGTTTACACCATTTTCCGGACCAGATGTGGAATGCAATGCATTGCGTTTTGCCACATTTTTGCCGTGTCCCGGAGCTGGGTGTTTTTTTTAGCTTAAAATTGGCTTTCAGGTGTGGTCCAGTGCTTTTGCATGCATTTGTATGCGTTTATGATGCATTTCCATGCGTTCCAGACCAGACAAAATGAGACATGCAGTATTTTTCTGGTCTGGTCTGGTCTGGAACAGATTGCGCTGGTGTGAACAGAGGCCAGAAATAGCATAGGGATACATTAGGATGCACTTTGGGTCCGGAAACAATCTGGTCTGGTGGAGACCTGGGTGTGTTGTGAACGGGCCCTTAGACTGAACAAGTACTTTCCCTTCAATCAAACGTCTGCTGTAGATCTGATGATATCATGGTCTGATGACTCAGATATGACTCAGATATTTTATATTTTGACATCAGCTGGATCTAATATTATATGGAATAGGGAGTAGGTGCAGATCTTTGTGCAACTTATGTGGACTGTAACAGTTATCTGAGCAATATGCCATTCATATGTTTTTAATATTTTTAATATTTACGTGAATACTGACTGTGTTTCATGAATACATTTTTTACTATAGGAATTTGTACGAAGCCATATGATACACTGATATTAAAAAATAGACACCTAAAAAGATCCTAACAATGTACAACTCCTCCTCCCTTGTAACACTGAATAATAGGATGACGTGTCCATTATATCTATGTTGCTTCATCCTAATAAAAAATGTTTCCTTTGCATACACTTTCAGATGTGTCTACCCATCAATTCAGCTTTACTCACCTTCAAGTTGGTATTTTCTATGCTTTGGGGTGTCAACCAGTGCGGTTCAATAACTTCAGAATGTGAGAAGATGTTGTCAAGGCGACTGGAAGGCTTACTGGCGGCTGTTATTAAGAAAATGAAAAAAGGAAAATGATTTCATTGTACATAGAAAGACACAGATATACAGCTGGTTTTCTGAAACACAAACCAAGGGAACACATTACTAAGAAGCAGTCAAGAAATGTCACTGTAATAGTATGAATATCCTCTCATAAAGTAAAATCATTTAAGGAGAACTATGAGGTGAGTGCTTTTCACTCACCTCATAGTTCTAGCCGACGTGTGACAATGAGACTGTCACATGTCGGCTAAGTAGATCGGGAGGTGAGCGAACACATACCGGTGTTCGCTTACCTCTCGATCCTGTCACGGCTCTCTGCCGTGACAGGGGAGGGGCTGGATTCCCCCTCCCCGCTCCGATCCGCCAGCGCTGACTGGCGGAATGGACGGGGCGGGTACAGCTGGCTCTGCCTCTAGCTAGGCAGAGCCAGCCGTCACTCACGCAGCTGGGCGCATCTCAACATCGATGTTGGGATCCGCTCCGGCTTCTCAGTATACCGCAAGCTGTAGCTCGCGGTATACTGAGCTTAGGGTGACGGGAGGACACTAGTTTGTGTCCTCCCGTTACCCTAAGGAGAACTATGGGGAAAAGCCTTAACCCCATAGTTCTCCTTTAAGAAAGCTTTAAAGCTGAACTCTGGGAAAAAAAAACTATATTCTGACAGTTGCTTTGTAAAAATACAATTCTTCTAACAGTTTTTGTCCCATATGGCTGCTGTTGCGTTCAGTATAAATCTTGCTGTCATTAATTCCATACACCACTGTAAACACTAAACTTCAGGTGCTGAAACTTACACCTGTGGCTTCTCCCTGCTGGGAGCCCGCTGTATGCTGCGGTTTGTGTCCCCTCCAATCCCCCCTGCTCCCCCTGTCTGTATCAGAAGAGGTAGCAGGGATCATAGGGGACACAGACTGCTGCAGCTGGCGCCCAGCAGGGAGGGAAGACTGGCTGTCGTACAACACCACTGTGACTCAGCAACCCCCAGCCCCGCAAGGTTTCATCCTCTGCTGATTGACAGCAAGCAGTGGGCGGATGCAATAGCCAGCCTGCTATTGACTATTGCCATTTGAAATAGCAAATAGCAGGCTGGCTATTGCACCAGCCCACCAGCTGCCGGCTGCAGAATCTTGCCACCGGCACCTGTCGTTTCCTGGCTGAAGCTATTCAAGCGCCATGTGCGCTTGGACAGCTTCTTTGAAGTGGAAAGGTGACACTAGGGGTCTAAAAGACCCATAAAGTAACCTTAACGAGAACCTGCCACCTCAAATGTGCTATCACATAGGGGGCCTGTGAGCCCCTCTATGTGATAGCAATGAAGAAAAAAAAAGTTTTAAAAAGTTGAATGAATTAAAATAAAAATACCCCCCAAAAATGTAATGCCCCCCGCGAGGTGGTGGATAGTCCCTCGGTGTCCTTACGTCTAATGCAGCTGCATTAGACGTAATGACATCACGGGCCCTGATGAATGCCATTAGTAAATGGGGAGAATTCCAGTTATTTCAAATATTAATCCTTGGTAGCCCCACTGCAAGGGTTAATATTTTAGAACTCCAGGCAAAATTTTTTTTATTAACACTTGCAGTGGGTCTCCCCAGCAGTGCTAGTATTAAAGTATATCTAAACACTCTTTTTGGGTTTTTTTTGCAGTTATCTACTGCTAGCAAACAGTAGATATATGCAAAAACATTTAAAAAAATAAAAAAGTTACCAAAAAGGCAATTACTTACCTCTGTCTGCGTCGCTTGCACCCGTCCGAAGATCTGAAGCTTCTCGAGTGGCTGAACAGGATGATGGGGCGAGCGCATGCACAGTGGAGATCTTCCACGGGGAGAAGAGGAGAGACACAGCGCAGGTGAATGCATGTAGCCGTGAGCGTACACATCGGACAGACACCGTGGGTAGGGCCGGATTCACTCTCTCTGCTGCCCCAAGGCCAGGTTCCTAAATGCGCCCCCCTCGCCATCGCCGAGATCACTAGTACAAAACAAGCGGCGGCTTCCCCACTGTACATTTAGCCCTACGTGCCCAAAGCAGGGCTAAATGTAGAAAACAACTACCCGCCCGGCGACCAGAACTGCATGGTCTTTTCCGGGAGATAGGAATTCCGGGAGATAGGAATTCCACACCCCTGCTGCCCCTCTACTCCCTGCTGCCCCAAGGTCAGGCCTTGATTGGCCTTGTGGGAAATGCGACCCTGACCGTAGGACTCGAGGAGTCTGTGCTGGATGGATCAGACACCAGCTCCAGCGCTGGAGGGACGTCTCAATACAAGTGGAAGAAAGAAGACGATTGGATCAAGCGGCATCATTTAAGGTAGGTCCTTAAAACAGCATTGGCGGCGGGGGGGAGGGGGACAAAAACATTTGTGACTTTAATCTCACTTTAAGTGCTCGTTTTGGTCTAGGGAGTAAAATAACAGTTATACTCACCCTTTCCTCTGAGGCTGCCGGCTGTAACACTGCTCCCACCAGCATGTCTCCACCTCCAGCGAAGATATATATTCCTCTGCATCCTCACATCCTATACATTGCGCATAGAACTTGATGATTCAGGGATCATAGACCATTCCAGAGGAGAGGGGCTGGAAAGACCAGTCTAAGAGCTGGCACAGCTCAGAGGATCGGATAAGTATAACTTTTTTTTCCTCACTAGACCAAAATGAGCAGTTAACCCTTGCAGTGCTGGGGAGCCCCACTGCAAGGGTTCATTCAAAATTTTGCCTAAATTTCTTCTTTAAGAAAATTAACTCTTGCAGTGGGGCTACCCCCTCACTGCAAGGTTTTATTTTTCTATATAACTGGAGCACTCCCCATCTACTAATGCCATTCATCAGGACCCGTAAAGTAATTATGTCTAAAGCAGCTGCATGAGACGTGAGGACGCCGAGGGACATTCCACCACCAGGAGAGGGGAGATTTAAGTCTTTAAATAACTTGAGTTCTGATAAAAACCTCCCCGATAGTCAGCATGTAAAACAGATATTTCTCTTTCTTCTCCATTCTAGCAAACTTGAACATTTCACCCTAAAACTAGTGTCATAATGTATATGGAGCATACGCTCCACACACGCTGCTAACAGGGGGATATTGGAACACACTTCTTCAATAAACAGAGCTGTCCTGATAACCAAGTCCATATGAACAATTATTTCCATGAGACCCATTGAAAATATAAAGCAAAGTGATATTACACAGCAAACAATGGCGGACATATTACCATACTGGCAGCGGGCCAGCTGGCCGAGTCTGTCCTAATAAACAAAGTATCTGTTCTCCAGCACACGTCTATGTAAAATAACATAAAGTGGGCCTCTCACAGAAGCAGCAGAGGCTCCCAATTGTGGGCTTGGCCAAGATTGCTGTGAATGCGGCCTGTTGTTTCTAGAGACCTCGTCCAAACCTGACTGCTATAGAAGAAGCTCCAGTTCTCCCCATTTACTAATGGCATGCTTCATCCCTGAACCCTTTCACTGCGAGATACGTTTCTGCGTTCTTTGCACACGTTAAGATGCGCATTTTCGGCCTGTAGATTACCTAACACCCCAATATCATTATATATTTCCTGAAAGCAGATGGTGGCAGTTGCAATTTTTTTAAATGATATTAGCGCAACTGTTTATCAAACCCGAATTTCCAGCAAAAAAACACTAAAAGAAAAACTCCAGGAAAAATTTTATGCATATAGTGCACATAAGCAATGGGGGGAATTTATCAAAACAAGAGCAGACAGAATCTGGAGCAGTTGCCCATAGCAACCAATCAGCTAGCTGCGTTCAGTCGCTCAGCCGCTGCGAGGTGATTCAGATGCCGAGCTGTTTTTGCTCGTTTTTCAATGCAGAGAAGTCTATGGGACCCAAACCGCACGACAACCGCCCGAAAATAGCTCCTGCAGCGATTTCGGTCACGCGACAAACCGCAGAGGTGTGAGCAGCCTCCATTGACTTCAATGCTAATCTGTGTTTTGCGCAATATTGCGCGACTCAAACCGCGAGATAAAATCGACTAGGTGTGCAACGGCCCTTAGCAAACCGCCGCTGAACGCTGTGCTGCAAGTCAGTGCCCAGCGGTGCTAACTTAGCACTCGCAGCGGAAGTGAATGTGGCTGTAGAGCGCTGAGTGTGACGTGCACAGTAGGAGAAGGTGGGGACAGAGCACCAGCGGCCATTGTAACTGTGGGCACACCTGGCAGCGGTGGAGAAGGGTGCCCCCTGGGCCCTGATGGAGCAAATCACAATTCAGTGTGGAAACCTTGAATTTATTGTTTTGGTGGATGGGTGTGACAAAAAACTGACAGTAGAAATTGCACTAATTGCAGAGTTCAACACTGAATCTTCCCCCATTTTGCTTTGAACTGTGCAGGCGAAGCGTTCCGTGAAGCTGCTGCAGCGAACTGAAGAGATGCAGAACAGCTACTCGGCTCTTGGCTAAGCAACTGAACGCCACTATGGTCTCACTTGTTGCCTGGAACTGCTCTTTAAAGCTCTTTAGTTAAACCATAAAAGTGTTGGAAATACAACAGCTTATACTAATGTACTGATATGCTTTTTAAGCAGTAGATGGCGCTGTAGTGCAATGCCAGTCCATGCTAGTTTTCTATATGCATGCTTATACCTATGATATACAGCAATTTTTCTTATCTACATGTTTCCTGTATAATGCTGTATTCCCCTTTACATGTATACAACGTTCTTCTAAGAAGGTAAAACTCAATTTAACATTCCTCAACATCTCAGTGCATCAACTAAACACATGACCAACAAAAGATGTACCAGATAGACAGACAGAGAGACAGACAAAGAGACAGACAGAGAGATAGAGAGATAGATAGATAGATAGATAGATAGATAGATAGATAGATAGATAGATAGATAGTAAACACGCACATGCCTTGCTGCCCTGACCATTGAACGCTGCTCTGATGATGAGAAATTTCTGCCTGACATTAGCAGTTTTATGTAAAGCTGAACTTCAGGCAGGTATAAAAGACACTATTTCATGCA